GATCTCACCAACTTACATCACAACATCAAAATCACACATCTTATTATTTATCAATTACATAAACATTACATCATTAATTATTTAATTAACCAAAAAAATTTCATATTTATTAATAACAAATTAATTCTTAAACAAAACTATTAAATATAAACTAGGCAAACGTGCATTGCACGTTGCTTGCACCTAGTATATATATATATATATATGTACATAATGATGTATAAATAGTATTAAGTATTGTTTTTTCAAGAAATTCAAGCACATCGAACAATGAAAAATGAGTTAATTATAATGAAGGTTATCAAACTTTCACCCTAGTGGCAATTGAGTCACTGAACTTTTATTTGAAACAATCAAGCCACTAAACTTTAATTCAAAGGCAATCGGTTCATTCTTTTTTATTCGTTAACTGACCTACTAGAACTTGCTGATGTGCCGATTAAACTAACAAAATGCCGAACTGTAGCCCCAATCAACAAAAAAAAAAAATTTCATTTATGGATCAACTAGAAATTTTTGCACAAGCTTCAGTGACCAATTCTGAAATCAACTCATGATAATTTGAAAATTATAAGTCACATGATAATTTGAAAAAGGTCTTGCTATTTGTACAACGGGGTGTAGGGTTTTGCTATTTGTACCCCGAGGCCGTACATCCGGGTGTCAATACCGATGTACATATAGCAAAACCCATTTGAGAAAGGATGCGAGCAAAAAAGCAGAAAAGGCGGCTTCTATAAAAGTCAAGGACGTGCATTATCATCCATTAAGTTCATACTAAAGATGACTTTATATATTTTGAAAGGCTTGTTACTTATGCGACCATGCCTATGGTATTGACGTATTGTATATGGATATTTAATCCTTTTTTTTTGCATATACTTTAGTGGGTTCAATGTTCAAAATTGAAATTCATTTGACCCGATTTCAATTAATGTAATTAACTCTATAAAAAACTGATAATAATTTTAAAATTTAATTGTGATAAAATATGTGACTTAATGTTTTCCAGTAATTAACATGTTTTCTATAAAACTAGTCAAAAGTGTACAAAATTTGATATACGACAGATTTTTTAAATTTCTTTTAATAAAGCAACAAATTTTACTAAATTTCAAAACAATAATTTTCTATTTTTAACTATAATTACTTTCATAAAATCACTAATTTATTCATTTTCGTAGTTTTGACTAGGGTTGTCCGTGAGTCGGTTCGGTTCGGTTCGATTTTGAAGAGACTCAAACCGACCCAAAAATTTCCAGTATTTAATAAATGGACCCGTCGGGTCCAAATATAATTATGGAACCGTTCGGGGTCGGTTCCTTCCGTTTGGTTCGGGTCGATTCGGTTCCGTACCATAATTAAATTTTTTAATATTTACAGCAACACTACATAAATACAACTAATGACATTTCATTCGTAACTTTTACAAATTAACGTAACCCAATTCAAAAACATATAAATAACTAGCCGTCCAATAAGATTAATTCAGTGTATACAAATACCAAAAAGTAGATATTAATATTACAGCAAAACTACATAAAGTATATTCATTTGCTTCAAATTAAAATGGGTTAATGTGTTTTAAAAATGATTTGGGCTTTAAAATTAAAATTATGAAATAATCCGGTTTATTTAATTAATTTGTTAATTTGTATAGAAAAAAAAATAATTTAATTAATTCAATATAAAAAATAAAAAAATTATTTAGTTTTGGTTCTTTTTTGGTTCTTTGATTTTTGGTCTAGACTCGAGACCCGACCCAAACCCATCGATTCTCGATTTGGGTACCCGTTCGGGTATTTAATTTATGAAGAACCGCTCGATTCGGTTCGGTTCGGTTCGGAACTTTTGGACACCCCTAGTTTTAACAAATCTTGATTGCTATTTAATTTTCTATTTTTAACCATTCATGGCGGCTTGAATGAGCATTACATTTTGCGGCTACATGTGATGTAATTTAATAAATACAAAATAAAATAAAATACTTCACAAATGGTCCTTTTCCCTTTAGCACGAAGTAATGCAAGCAAGCAGAAGAAATGTTACAAAAATTAAAGTTTAATAAGTATTTTATTTTATTTATCGGGGCGTGGAGAAGAATACAATGTATTTGTTTATCAATAACAAAAAACAAGTTGATGTTCTTAAAAAATTAAAAATTAAAACTGAACGCAAATTGATGTAGTTTCACTCATGACTACTAAACTTCATGATTAGTGTTACTTTGGTTATTAATATTAAATTAATCGTGCTACAGTGACATGTTCAATGACAGATTCAAACATAGGAAGAACACATGTCAATACATGATTGGACAATTTGAAAAAAAAAAGGCCGACACCCCGCCCTATCACCTCATCCCTGTCAAAAACCCTTGTTCAAGGAGCATTATTTATATTAAATTGTTTCAGCCTCATACTGTATCTATTGTTGGGCTTTGTGGAGCCTAATTTTGTTTGATCCAGTTGATGACCCGACTTGAATAATGTTGATGGGAGATTTGGCTTTGGTTGAAAATTTTTGGGCCCGTTTTATTGCCCATTGTGAATCCTGTGTGTAGGATATAGAAAATGCAATTTTTTGGTGATTATGGTTCTTGATGATATATATAGAGAGAAAAGTGTACGGTCGCACTTTGTATTCTTTCCATGATAATAGTGAAATCTTTGCAACTCCGTAGACGTCGGAAAAATTGGCCAAACCACATAAATATTGTCTTGTGCGTGTGATTGTTTTTTCTTTGGCGTATGTTTTCTCTATTCAATGTTTCTCACAGGTTGAGAATTTCGGATTGATTCCCTACATCTATGGTGTGACGAAACTTAATTACTTTAAAATAAATTAAAATTTGGTGGCTACAATGACATCAAGCGAAAAATTTAGTGTCCACATTAGTGAAATTAAACCAACATGCATTTCTAAATTCATGGATGTATTGAATATGCATAATGGGTTGCTATATACGGTCACATAATAATAAAGCAACGCTGAATTGATTACTATTTTGTAAGCTAACACATAAAGTGATGTTTCCCGGGTGGCAAAATATCCATTCACAATTCAAAGAAGTCAATCAACTTGGAGTGAATACGCAAGGTATCCTCTTTCGACTAGTAGTTTTTTTATACAAGTGGTTGATAGTTTGTAATGAAATGGATGTAACTCGAGGCGACTAAAGGGTTAGTCCAATTTTGCAATCAAGAAACTAATATTTTGCTAATAAAATAGAGTTGGTCCGAATCTTTTAATGTGCCAGTCACACGCTCGGGTTTCTATAGGCTAGCTAGGATAATTATTTATTCAAATCTTTCAATGAAAACTCGTCTTACGCTATCATTTATCGTGTTC